GTGAGAAACTCAAAACCTAAGAACAAGTTACTGACCTTCATTAAAAGTGTGTCATTGTAAATTATGCAATGATACAGTTTTCATTTCAGTCTGACATGTGCCAGCTGAACAGTATATTACTGGAAATAGGCAATATACCACCGTTTGACCACCCTGTAGTTGATAAAAGGGAGTGATGTTGGCTGACTTCTCCCAGTTCCCTTGTGAGGAAGGAATTTTTTTTTTTCATTGTGCTAGGAATTGATGACTTTCTGCTGCTTCAGCAACAGCTGATGTTAAACTTCAGTAGAGATACTTTGCTTTATTCCTGCAGCAAGAGTAGTGGCTCTGAATAGCGGGGGGTGGGGGTGGGGGTGGGGTGGCTGTTTTGTTCAGGGTTTGGGTTTTTTTAATTTTTTATTTTAAGGTGAAGTCCCAAGCAAGCATAACTGCTAGCGAGCAGGTCATCCTGAATACAAATAACATTATAATCCCTGTATTATCAAGGAGCATGTATTCTGTACTTTAACTTTTTCTAGAAAATAGTTAATTGGTATTTCTTTGTAGAAGCTCTCCAAATTAGCTCTCATTTCTCCAACCTATAACAGGTTTTAACAGTTTTACCTGTTAAAATTGGGACTTCGTCCTTCTCATATGTAAACCTGTTTAGGGTCAGAGTTGGAAACTAATGCCTGACAGTCTTTTAAAAACAAAAAATCCAGTCATCAACAGGACATGGACTTCATTTTTTTTAACGTGCTCCAGCCCTGAAATACTAAATCCAAGAATGGTCAGTGGTCCAACACTGAAAGTAGCCTATATCACTTGTAATGTAATCCCGGCTTCTGCCTGGTTCATGTTTGGAGGAAAAAAGATAGCATTTTTGTGGTAAGCTGGGCTTTTTGTTATTAAAGGAGGTGATTGTTTTGAAGCTGCTCAGAGGTTAGGAATGCTGGCAATCATCTGGGGAGACAGATTAGTGGGTTGAGTGCAGGTGAGGAGGTCACAGGCACAAAAGAACCACTTCTTTTGTGCCATTGCCCTCGTAGTGGTTCAGCCAAAGGAAGCTGCTTCAGAAGTGACTTGTGTGTGTCAGGAGGACCATCGTACTTCTCCTGTGACATTACTACCTGATCATCACAAACTTGCAAGTTGTGCGAATTAACTCTCTGGGTTGTTGTTAATTTAAGGGGAAGAAAACAGTGTTGTCAACGAATCTTCCCAGGTGAAATATTTGGTAAAGCTTTTGCAAATCTGCCTTAAAGTAATTCAGTATTAATACAGTAACATGGAGAGAGAGGGAGAGAACGGTTACCTGGGTGCTTTCAGGGAATAGAGGGATAACTAGGGCATGTGTTTCATTTTACCTGCAGTGCAATAAACTGCACTCGCCAACCTAATTTTCTGAATCTTTAAGGGATGCAGCTTTTGTTTTGAGTTTGGTTTGCCAGTACTGCAAGTGACAGTCTTAAATGCATAAACCCACATGTAATTTTAATTGCCATCTTAAACTGAAATTTTGGGATAAAGGTTCTCTTGGGCTTTAAGGTACAGTGCTACTATTCTACAGTGCTATGTTTCAAGTGAGGAAGAATTTCGATTCTAAATCTGAATCCCCAAGTTGTTTTCATAGGACTGTCACAGGAATTTATCAGTGAATTGTGAGGGTGAGCAGGGCACAGTGTTTGAGACTGTGGTGATGAAAGACATCTCTTGTGGACTCATACTTTACAAGGAAAAAATATTTGTTGCCAACCTTCAGAATCATCCATCAAAACTTAAAGTCTAGGTGGATGTAGATGATGGTGATCCTGTTGATGAAAGAAAAGGAATAATACCTCGCTTTGACTGCCGCAGGTGGCTTGTGCATTCAAAAGACTAGACACTGCGCTGACTCTGCTCAGCAGGTGGACTTGAGAAGCTGCCATCTCCACGCAGTCACTGTCTTGGCTGTGAATACACTTCCAGGAACCAGTTGGGAACTTCTCGTGTTTGGGTGATTTTAAGGACTTCCAGTCCTGTGCCTCACCAGTCCAAATAACACAGTAGGGCCTGTGGAGTTGGTACGACTCTGAACGGCCTGGGAGGAGAGGCAAGAGACGAGTGTGAAGTTAAACACGGCAAACTTGTCCAAGGAGTATCTTTATTTCACAGAAGCTTTTCCTTCAGGATGACCTTCTAGATGCCTTGTGATGTCCTCAGTGTCAGTATAGCCAGTGTAAATAAGTTATAGGAGAATGCAGAAATAGTCTTTCTGAAGTCTTCAAACGATTTTTTCCAGCCCAAAGGACTATGTAGGATCACAGAATAATTTAGGCTGGAAGGGACCTCTGGAGGCCAGCTAATCCAACACCCTGCTCCAAGCAGGCTCAGTTAGATCAGGTTGCTGCTTAGCACATTTTTTAGCGTCCTCTGAGTTGTGTAACTTAATGTCACTTCATTGAAGTCTGCCAATAATATGCCTTGAAAGCTGACCTGAAAATGAGATCTTGCAAGAAATAAAAATGTAATTACAAGCTTGTTTTTACTAACACTTTTTTTTCTTCAACCTTTATGAGGTAGAGGTATTGTCTTACTTTCTCAAACATTACTATGCGGGGTTAATTTGTCAGAAAAAAATTTTCTTAGTGGCAGTTCTCTAATTGTGCTTTTGTATTTTGCTGCTCGTCTTCAACAGTAGAATAAACTGAAAGTCTGTTAGTTTATCTGAAAAGTGTTAGCATGCTTAAACTCCCAGTTAAATAATTTTCCAGCTAGTGCACGCTTCATGTTTAAAATACGCACAGTATTTTTAATGTGAAATGCAGTAACGCATTTTGTACACTAACAACTTCATGACTAAGTATTTTTTATGCAAACCAGAACATAAGCTTCTTATATGGAATAACTTGTCATATTACTTGGCTTATTTCAAGTTGATCACTTTGCACATGCCCTTGAGATACCACTACAGACAGAGAAATATTTAAACAATTCCTTGAACAGTAGACCCTACAAAGGCTGCTTTCCTATGGATCTTCCTCTCAAGGGCAGGAGCGCCTGTGCGAGTCTGTGTCTGTTCTGTGATCCCTAGCATATGGACTAGGCAGCAGAGCAGTTTGTTTCTCCCTGCTTCTCTTTCTACTGGGCCGCTTGCTTACACAGAACTCTTTTGGTACTTGGCGCTTTTAGCACTTTTTATTGCTGTCAAATTCAGCTGAAATGAAGTAAAATATTCCAAAGAGAAAAGTGCTGTACCGAGAGATGCATATCTCTCAGTGGATGAGGGAAAGGCTGCGGATGTTGTCTTTGACACCGTTTCCCACAGCATTCTCCTCGAGAAGCTGGCTGCTCGTGGCTTGGACGGGTGTATGCTTTGCTGTGTAAAAAAACTGGCTGGATGGCCGGGCCCAGAGAGTTGTGGTGAACGGAGTTAAATCCAGTTGGCGGCCGGTCACGAGCGGTGTTCCCCAGGGCTCAGTATTGGGGCCAGTTCTGTTCAATATCTTTATCAATGATCTGGATGAGGGGATCGAGTGCACCCTCAGTAAGTTTGCAGACGACACCAAGTTGGGCGGCAGTGTTGATCTGCTCGAGGGTAGGAAGGCTCTGCAGAGGGACCTGGACAGGCTGGATCGATGGGCCCAGGCCAACTGTATGAGATTCAACAAGGCCAAGTGCCGGGTCCTGCACTTTGGCCACAACAACCCCATGCAGCGCTACAGGCTTGGGGAAGAGTGGCTGGAAAGCTGCCTGGCGGGTCGACAGGCGACTGAACATGAGCCGGCAGTGTGCCCAGGCGGCCAAGAAGGCCCATGGCATCCTGGCCTGTATCAGAAACAGTGTGGCCAGCAGGAGCAGGGAAGTGATCATGCCCCTGTACTCGGCACTGGTGAGGCTGCACCTTGAATACTGTGTTCAGTTTTGGGCCCCTCACTACAAGAAGGACATTGAGGTACTGGAGCGTGTCCAGAGAAGGGCAACGAAGCTGGTGAAGGGTCTAGAGCACAAGTCTTCTGAGGAGCGGCTGAGGGAACTGGGGTTGTTTAGCCTGGAGAAGAGCCGGCTCAGGGGTGACCTTTTTGCTCTCTACAACTACCCGAAAGGAGGCTGTAGTGGGGTGGGTGTTGGTCTCTTCTCCCAGGTAACAAGCGATAGGACGAGAGGAAATGGCCTCAAGTTGTGCCAGGGGAGGTTTAGATTGGATGTGAGGATAAATCTCTTCACCAAAAGGGTTGTCAAGCATTGGACCAGGCTGCCCAGGGAAGTGGTTGAGTCACTGTCCTTGGAGGTATTTAAAAGACATGTAGATGTGGTGCTTAGGGACATGGTTTAGTGCTGGACTTGGCAGTGCTAGGTTAACGGTTGGACTTCATGATCTTAAAGGTCTTTTCCAACTTAAACGATTCTGTGATTCTGTATTAACATTAAATTCCTTACTGAAAAAGGCTAGGCTAAAAACACAGACCCAACTACTCTCTAACACCCTGCTTTCATGTTTGTACCTAAGGTCTGCTATCAGTTAAGGCTGTGTATTGGATATTAAAATACTCCCCGATTCAGACTTTTAGGTTAGGAATGTGTATACACTCCTTGCCCACTTGAGATGTATGTGTAAAATTACAGTCCGACTCTGAAAATATAGTCTCACATCTAAGATGGTATATCAGGCCTGCAGCTGCAAGTAATTGCATTCTGCACAGCTGACAACAGGAGTTGAGAATCAGAAGTCTTTTTCCCTCAAAATATGGAAGAAATATGGGTAGTCACTGAAAACAACTCATTTATTCTGAATGATGTGCTGATGGACATAGAATGAAACGACGGTTAGAGTAAGCGGAAGACTTTATTTGATTTTTTCCATATTATTAGGAGTGTGGCTTCACTGAATCAGATCTAAGAAGAAAATGCCCTGTAGATTGCATTATTCTCTGATGATTGATACATTGGTACTGTTTCTCTTTCAGATGAAGTGGACTACAGTAATTTTGGGACCAACACGCTATCGAGGAAGAAGAAGGCTCTGGTGACACTCCGCAATGACAACCTTCGCCGGCGTCCCCACATTAACATTAGCATGCCTCATGATTTTAGACCAGTGTCTTCCATAATCGATGTGGACATTCTTCCTGAAACGCACAGGAGAGTGAGGCTGTATCGACATGGGTGTGAGAAACCCTTAGGATTTTACATTCGCGATGGCACCAGCGTAAGGGTTACTCCTCATGGACTAGAAAAAGTACCCGGTATCTTCATCTCTCGTATGGTTCCTGGAGGCTTAGCGGAGAGCACAGGCTTGCTGGCTGTGAATGATGAAGTCCTGGAAGTTAATGGCATTGAAGTAGCAGGAAAGACTCTCGACCAAGTCACAGACATGATGATTGCCAACAGCCATAATCTTATTATCACGGTCAAGCCAGCAAACCAGAGGAACAATATTATTCGAAGCAGTAGGATGTCTGGTAGCTCTGGCCAGTCTACAGACAGCACTGCTAGTCACCATAGCTTGCCTACATCCCACGTGCTGCAGAACTTCCACCCTGATGAAATGGAGAGTGACGAAGAGGCTGACATTGTCATCGAGGGCGGTCTGGAGCCACAGCACATTCCTAAACTGCACAGCCTTACTTCCAGTAGCCTCTCTCGAATCAATGGCAGCAGCCTTACCCACAGACTTCAAAGGGACCTGGTGCTCAACAACAACTCTGGCCGAGAAAGCAACGGCAACATCCACAAATTACTCAGTTCCTTAAAAACTGATCCCCGACACAGTCTGGTTATCCCCAGAGGAGGTATCGAGGAGGATGGAACAGTCATTACACTTTAGTAGCAATTCCTGCAACTCTCCATTCAGTCTTAAGTGCCAATTGGGACAGTTGACTCTTGCAACGTTGTTATGCACAAAACAGAGAGCTGATATTCTCATAGACCTCACGGGTGCAGAAAATTGTTGCTTTCTAGGAAACGTGGCATCTGGAGTTAGACATAAAAGTGTCGTGCAGTGCCAAATTTGTCAGGAGAAAGCCCGAGTGCAAAACCTGGTTTATGTCCCAGCCCTAAAGCGAGAACACAAATTTGTTTTAGTTGGTATAAATCTAAGCAGTCTTACAGGCTACCGATGGCAGTGCCACGTGCTTGGGTTTGAATGCATGGGTGGATGTATTTATACATGCATGTATATGAATTAGATTTTAATAGTAACAGACGCCTATTTGAAGTGGAATCTGGTTTTCTTCTAATACCAGTTTAAAGAGCGTGCTTCTTAATAGCCATCCGATCTTCTACAGTTACCTACAGACCCTCCGCTAACTTGTTTACACCGTATTTGCAACCTTACGTCTAATCCAGACAAGCTCTATAAAAGCAGCGGTTTCCTACTCCGGTGGCAACAACGTTAGGGAGATGCTGCAAATACATTTTCCAAATGAAACTATGTATGTATGGGTGGGTTTGTTGGTTTTTTTGTTTTTTTTTTTTAAAAGCCTAAGGAGGCGATGTTGGAGGATGTTGCAGTTATTGCTGTGAGATCACCACCACCTGCTGGCCAGAGGCAGGCCTGCCCCGCAGCACACACCTGGGCTGCACGGGGAAAGAAAAACATGGCCATAAGGGCTTAAAACTAGGTTCACGCCATTATGTGTAAATGTATTCTTTTTCGATATTTATTAGAGAATACCTCTTTTTCAGATTTTTTTTTTTCCCCATCATCTCTGTTTTTTTCAGTATCACGGTTCATGTGAATTCTAGGGATGCAAGTGAGAAGGCAACAAAAGTGGAAGAGTGTGCTAGGACTGTCCCCTTCACCTCAGAGCCGACACAGGTCCTTGCTGCACATTCGGGGCAACCTAAATCCACAAGGTCTTTCCGTACAAAAGATCGGCGGGTTGCTATACAGAGGAGGGATGGTGACTGACTGTCAAACCTAACTTAGAGTAGTTCTGTTATTTTTTGGACTCTCCTAGTAAGCGTAAAGCTTAATGTCTACACAGGATTTCTAGAAACTTAAACTATACCGGATGTTTGCGATGGTCAGGCATCTTTACTGGATGCTGGCTAGTGGGTAACCAGTGACTGTTGAGTCGATAACTGTCTGCTTCTGAAAATGCCATGAATTTATGAAAGTGGTCTAATCTAAAATATTTTGTTATATCTTGATCAGTGTAAGGAACAAAATATAAATGTTTTACAGTGTATTTTTCTACTTTTAGCTTGTGTCATTTTCTTTTTGTTTTTAACTTTGTAGTACATTAAAGCTTTTTTATATGGTGGAATAGACATTTCTTAAATATTGTATGGATATGAAAATTCAGAAGTCTTGGTTTGAAAAAATTACATTCCATTTTGGAATCTGTAATGGCTGGACAAAGGATGCGCGGACTAATTCCTTGTCACTAATTTAGAATACCTGTGGAACAACCAGTCTTCTGCTCGTTGTTAAATATGTTTGGGACGTTGAACTTAGTATGTTTCTTTTAGATTTGCTTTAAAAGTTTATTTTAAAATTCTTTCACTTACTTACTCTAATTAAACCTCTTCTAGGTATCACAGCAGTTATGGAGCTGTACTTATTTTTCCCAGCACAGTAAGAAGAGAGCATCGATCCTGTTTGTCTTACAACTGTGTTTGTACTTTACCAAAGGTTTTCATTTTTTAAGAAATCTGATTATTGGTGCAGTAAAAAAAATGAATAGCTGGATGTGCTTCAGTCAATCAGACCATCTTATCAGGAAAATTTTGTTACACCTTAAATAAGACTCCTTTTATGAATAAGTGGATTTGTCTGGCTGAAGTTACTCATTTTACCTTATTTAACTGATGAAAATGTGACCTATCTGCAATAAAATGTGCACTGTCTTACTTCTACGCTATATCCTTTCCCCTGTGCTCAAGCACATCTTTCTGTGGAAGTATCTCCCTTCCTTGTGGAAACAAGATACGTGGTTTTGATGACTCCACACCTACGCAACCATTTTAGTAATGCTTTTCTCCGTCCCGGCACAGACGGGGATTCCTCCGGTTGTTGTTCCCTATACCAAGTTTCTTTCCATAACGTTTCTTCCCAGTACTGCTTTTAAAGGGTACTGTTACGCTGGTTCCCATGGGAACCAAGAAGTTTGCTGTGCTCCTCATAGCTAGCAAGGCTCGCGTCAAACCCCGTGGCTTTGACGACGTGGGGTAGTTCTGGCTCCTCAGAAAAAGCCCACGGTGCCTCTGGCGTAGTGACACGCTGCCACCCTGCACCCCTTCGCCCGGAGGCCGCTCGGCGGCTGTCCCAACTAAAGCGTGCTAGTGCAAAATACCCAAGTTCTTCCAGCTAATTCATCCCAGGGCGCAGGAAACGTTAAGTTGCATTTCTCGCATCAGCGCGAAAGCGTTGTACCCGAGACCTCAGTTAGGTTTCGCGCGTCGAGGCCCCTTCGGCTGCGAGACCGAACTGTTGAACGGGGCTTTAGAAGTGGGCGGCTGAGGGAACGGCGGCGCGCCAGTCCTCCTTCGAGGACAAATCCCCCATAAGCGTTCTTGCAGAAGGAGCCACGCTTCTGCCCTTCGCTCTCCGAGCGCGCGGTAGGGGCCCGCCCAGAGGCGGGGGGCAGCTCGGAGCGGG